CCCGGCGCAGCCGCTGGAATTCAATGCCGCACCAGCCGGCCCGAGCGCGGCGACCGCGGCCTTTGTCCCCGCGCCTTCCCCGCCCCTGGCCTGTCCGCCTGGGCGCGCCCTTTGCTCCCAAGACCCAGGCGGGGCGAAGGGATCGTTGTCTGGGGCGCTGCGACGGTCCGGGGTCCCACGGCTGAATCGGATAAACTCCAGAAAGAGCGAACACCCCGAATGCCACAGTAAATCCCTCCCGATCCCCACAGAACTTTCCCCGAGAACTATATTTGTTTCTGAATCACGCAGCCCTAAAGAGTCACTTTCATACTCCGAGCCTCAGTTTCTTCCTTTGTAAAATAAAGTTAATAACAAATACTAAACGGGATTGTTGTGTGGATTAAATAAAATAACAGTGGTGTAAAGGGCTTAAGTAAACCCCGGTACATAGAAGGTGCTCTATTAATGCCAGGTCAAGCATGATTTCATTTTCCAGAATTTGCAACTGGAATATGAAGCAGGAGAGTGCAGGTCCTGCACCCCCAACCCCCCAACACCTGAAGTTGCAGGAATCACAGGCTTCTGCCCTCAACTTCTGTCAAGTAACAGAAAAAAGGTGTGCTGAGGGCTGGGCTCTACCTCGTTCATCTTTGGAAGAGCGACTGGTCAGGTGGGCCTCTAGTTGGGGCTCTGGAAGACTCTGTGCCTTCTCATATTCTGGGCTCTGCTCTCATCGCATCTCCCGGGATACCCTTGCCTGACCCCTCAGTTCAAAGAAGACCCTTCCCCTCCTCCCTTCGCCCTCTGTACCATAACTTATTTGCACTTAATTGACATTAAGTGTTTGTGTTTGCTTATTGTCTTATTTGTCGTCTATTACCACCCACCCCCCCTTCCTAAAATGTCAGCTGGATGAGAGGAGGCACCATGTCTGTTTCCCCAGCACCCGGAATGCCTCACATGTGCATTCAGTAAATGCCAATAAGTGAATGAAACACACTGCGCACTCAGACACTGAACGACAGAGCAGGAAGCTGGGCTTCCCCGGGTGGAAAGCCCAGCCTCCCGGGAGCATAGGCTCTAGTTGGTGGGTAAGGCTCACATGAAAGTGGGACTGTATGCATTATGGGCCCTAGTTATTCAGGGAGGCTTCCGGAAGAGGTGGAATTAGGCTGGGCCCTGAAGGACTGGTCAGATTTGATTGGGAAGAGAGCACTCTAGCACGGAGGGAAGAGAGAGCAAATACAGAGTTGTGGAAGGGGTGTGGGATATTGAGGAGGTCATAAAGGGACACTACTTGGTATTAGAGAAGGGAGCAGTTAACTACAAGAGAGAATTGGGTGTGCTTGTGGAGGACCCAGAACACCTGTCTGAGGGAACCTCCTGCCTCTGAGGAGGTTCTTGAACAAATAACATTAGGAAATTGCTAGTGTTTTTATTAAGTAGCAAGTTACAATAATACTTTAAATGAGTAAAGGACATGAAAGCACAGTTCATAGAAAAGGAATACAAGTGGCTTTTAAACAAAGTTACTCAAACACTTCATAATAGGAGAAATGAAAATTAAAGCTAAGGTAAGTTACCATTTTTAGATATTAGGTTGGCAAAGATACACCTTGTAGAGAAAGGCATTCTTGTTCATTGTTAGTGGGGCTATAAAATGACTCAGCCTCTTTGACAATTTGGCAACAGCTATCACAATTTAAATGCATATACCTTTCGACCCAGCAATTCCACTACTAGGAATTCATCCTACATTGATGTTCACACAGGAGCACAAAGATGGCTATTCATTGCAGCATTGTCAATCATTACAAAAGACTGGAAACAACCTAAAAGTCTTTCAAAAAGAACTAGTTAATTAAATTATGGCATACTCCTGCGATGTAATGTTATACAATTGTTAAAAAGAATGAGATATGTCTCTATGTATCGATATGAATGGTCTCTAAGATATTAAACGAAAAGGCAAGCTGCAGAACTGTGTATGGTATGCTGCTGTTAATATGAAGTCCCTAGAGAAACAGGTAAAGTGATTGCTTCTGGGGAGGGAAACTCGGGATAGGGATGAGAGAAGATTTGCTTTCCCTTGTGTTCCCTTTTGTACTGTTTGATAGTTTTACCATTTAAAGTATATATGTATGTTTCAAGATAAAATAACACAATCGATAGATCCAAAATGACACACCATGATATTATTCAATTAATGCCAAAAGATGTATTTGATAAAACCCAATACACATCACTGATTTTAAAAACTATGTATTAGAAGCTAATATAAAAAAGAGTGACAATATCAAATGCTTGTGAGTACGCAAAGAGGCTGTATCTCTCATACATTGCCAGTCGGAATGTAAAATATTACGGCCACTCTGGAAAATAGTTTGTCAGTTTCTCAAAAAACTAAACAGACTTACCATATGACCCAGCAATGCACTCCCAGGTATTTATCCCAGAGAAATAAAACATAAGTCTACACAAAAACCTGTACGTGACTGTTTATAGCAGCTTTATTTGTAATAGTCAAAAACTGAAAACAATACAAAACAAACATATCCTACAATAGGTGAAGGGTTTAACTGTGGTACCATGAAATATTTTTTAAAAAGTCCATTCGGACTCATAACAACCTGATAGGGTTTCCAAGGCTATAAATTTGTATGGAAGCAGACTGCCACATTTTTCTCCCACAGAGCTGCTAGTGGTTTTGAACTGCTGATCTTTTGGTTAGCAGCCCAGTGCTTTAACCACTGTGCCACTAGTTGGCAATAAAATGGAATCAACTATTAATACATGCAACAACTTGGAAGGATATCAGGGCATTATGCTGGGTGAAAGAAGATAATCTCAAAAGGCCACATACTGTATAATTCCATTTATATATCATTCTGGAAATTAAAAAATTATAAAGATGGAGAACTCATAAGTGGTTGCCAAAGGTTAGGGATGGTAGGAGGAGGGGCTGTGGGTGTGACTGTAAAGGAGTAGCATGAGGGAGATCTTTGAGGAAATAAAAGTTCTGTTTCTTGATTGTGGTAACAGTCACACAAATCTACATTTGTGATAAAATGACAGACCTATACACCCACATCGTACCAATGTCAATTTCCTGGTTTTGATATTGTACTGTTCCATATTTTCCATAGACACGCTATGCTAATTTTTTTTTAACAGCAACATGTAAAAAAAAAATTAGCATAGTGACGCTTATGAAAATACCTAGGGAGGGGTTGGGGCACGGTTGGCAAACGAACATAGAAGGGGCACATTATTTGTGTAAAAAAATGGGGTAGTTATATAACCACTGGGGGAAACTGAGTGAAGGGTACACAAGGACCTCTCTGTATTATCTGTGCCACTCCCTGTGAATCTATAATTATTTCAAAACAGAAAGTTAAAAAAATTCTGTTAGGAAATTACAAATAAACAGATGTTTCTTTTGAGAGTGTCTCTCTCAGACCTATGCATTCATTAACGAGGAAACATTAAAAACATGCCCATGAAAATAAAAAACAGAATAAGTGCACCGGTTAATGATGCTATTATTTAATATTGTTTTACAAGTTCTGGCCAATACTATAAGACAGAAACAGTAATAAAAGATTTAACTATTGAAAAGGAAATAAAATTATGTTTTTTGGTAGACAATATAACACAATGCCTTAAAAAGCGAAGAACAACCCCAAACTGTTAGAATTAGTAAGGGAATTCAGAACCAAGGTAATATCACAAAATTTAATAGCTCAATAACCAGTTATCGGACTCTCTTTCCCCATTATAATGATAGCAAATATATAAATAATTTAGGAATAACTCTAATCGAAAACTATATCCAAAGCCTATATGATGAAAATCACAAAGCTTTACTGACTGATATTGAATATTATAACAACTTTGTTTAAAATTTAAACATATGTATGTAAAAGTAGCAATAAAAACAATGTGTGCAAACTACATGTCTTTGTAAGACTTAGAAATACTTAAAATTACCATGTAACATCAAAAATTATTGGCAAAAATGTCTACATTTTAAGTTCTACTTCTACATGGGAGCCTTGGTGGCACAGTGGGTAAGTACTCAGCTGCTACTTGAAAGGAAGGTCGTTGGTTTGAACCTACCAGCAGCTCTGTGGGATAAAGATGTGGCAGTCTGCTTCCGTAAGGATTTGTGGCTGTTGAGCACTTGAATTATGGCTAATCTGAATGGATGTGTGCTCTAAATATAAAATACACACCAGATTTTTGAAGATTTAGTGTGAAAAAATAAAATATCTCACATATAATTTTTTGAAATGATAATATTTTGCATATATTGGGTTAAATAAAAAATATTATTAAAATTATGGCTACTAGAAAATTTGAAGTTACATATGTCGGCTCACATTATATTTCTGTTAGACAGCATTGTTCTAGCTTTTTCATATCATTCTTTCATGTGCCTATAGACCTGAATGCCCATTAGAATTACCTGGGAGCTTTTAAAAAATGGCTAGGTCTTACCTCAAGAAATAGAATTGTGTTGGGTGACATTAGTATGATTTTAAATTTCCCCAGGTGATTCTAATGAAGAGCCAAGGATAAAAACCACCGCTATTGACACTAGTCAGTCAGGCCTTAGGTAATTCTTTTTCATGGTTTTCGTACCATATGAATAAGGAAAGGCACTCTACAGATTACGAAGTGCTATTTGAATCTGGGTGCAAAATTGTGGTGCCGCTTCTGTCTGGATTTATATCTCGTGTGACTAACCAAAACAAGACATAAACTTTTCTGAGCCCATTACCTGGTCGTGGCAAATTTTGCAGTTAATAAAAACAAAGTAATT